TCAAGGCAGGTTCTCTAGCCCCACCCTATCCACCAGGTTGCCATCCATAAGCCCCGCCTTCCCATTTAGAAATTCCTCAACCAGCATTGGGAAAAGCTAATGTCCTGGTGTCAAGTTGCTACAAAATGAATTCCAAGCATGCTAAATCCTGATAATTCATGTCGTATTGCTAAAAACATCACCTAAATTGGCTTGAGTTCCACCCATTGACAACTCCTTGTGGTGGATTCAATTGTGGTTTTATAGGTCTTTCTCCGGGTTCACCTTTGTGGGTGTTATCAAGGGATACCCTGTGCCCTGAAATGGAGAAGTGATCCCAAGGAGAATTTGCTTTTGCTCGGGCCTTGAGGTTCGAGGGTCTTTTTGAGCTCCTTGCTCAGTTTGGGATGGATATACCAATTGTGTAATTTACATCTAGACCCTGCATCTACATGGCACAGGCTTGGGATACACATTTCTCACAGGAGACTTTATTTTTCACATGCATATATCCAGACCCCAGATTTATATGCCCAACTACACCCTAGACAGTTCCGCCAGTGTCACAGGTTCCTCAGTGTCAGCTTGCCTGACATTGACCTCATCCCAAAAAATCTACTTCCCCAGCATTCCTTATTTCAGTGAATAGCACAGGGCTGCTATGTACAGTTGTGTAAAGAGTTCACTGCACAACAAGGACATGGGGGTTTAAATCCAGCTTGCACACAGCTCACCAAGCTATGCATCCACAGGTCTGTGTCCACCAAGAAGGCATCATTCTCTAGTTGTGCAAAGATGCTACATGGGGTCCAGACGGCCCTGGTAACTGCACCACCATCCACCCGGTTGCCCCTTCTCCTTCTCCTATATGTTTCCCCCACCCATCCCCAAGTCATCCCAGAGTCTTACCATCTTGACCTCCTACTTTGCCCTCAAATCTATATCCTTTGGGCCACCTCCACTCTAAGTTGCCAGATCTGAAAAAAATGCAGAACTCCCAGTTGAATGAATTTTAGATAAAGAACAAACAATATTTAGTATAACTATGCCCCTACATCCATTCTGTCTAACAGAATCCCAACTTTTACTCCAGCCCAAACTGTACCCAGACAAAAGAACACATTTCTAGCCAGATAAGCATACCGTTGCTCACAGCTTTACCACTGGAAGCTGGATCCATCTGCCACCCCCACACCACATTTGGTGGAGGCAGACACATTTCCTCAGAAAACAAGATATTGGGGTATCTTGGCTGCTTATGTGATACAAGTCTAGGACCCTTCATGCAAACCACAAAATGCTGACTTTTCATGTAAGCGTTATAGCCTGGATTTAGGAGCCTCAGTGTTGGCTCTCAGGTCAGTAAGTAGTGGCCTCCCCATTCCTGAGGGTGGGATCAGGCCATAGTCCCTCCTCAGGCTCCCCAGCATGGGAAAGACACTGGTCATCTCAAATGGGCTCCCACATCCTTTCCCAGAGCATGCTGCAACCTTGGCCCCTACGCCCCGTAAAAAGGTGCGCCATCCTATATAAGGCATATTGTCCATTTCTGGGAGAGGTAATTATATACCCAAGTGCTCTCTCCTGATTTCTGAGGCAGGAAAGAAAAGTCTGTTTAGGCCAGGGGCATGATCTTGAGGGGCTCCAACTCGAAAATACTTCACCCAGTCAAGTTCTGTAAACTATGTGTTTACCTGTCTAGATTTTGAGATCCAAATGCCTAAGAAAATAACTAGCCAAACTGGGTGCCTCATATTAGAAATGTGAACAATTAGTGGAATCCTACAGTAAATTCCTAAATTCTTTGTGGAATTTTAGAAGTTTAACATCCTACCGTCTTAATATTTTGGTAACTGGGAGTTCAGAGATCGCTGATTTGAACATTGGTGCCACTCGCTGAATAATTCAATGTTTCCTCATGTCCACAGAGGCCATTTTCATTTATCCCAGAATCTGAAACTAGAATACCTCTGTGCAATGTAAAATTGCACACTAAGAAAGGTACTTGTAAAGTGTCACAGAGTTTATTTCTATGGAACTTCAGTTATTGAAAGTAGGAAATGAACGCACATGCACCTCTGCACACACGTTTATATTTACCAAAGAACGTACAGTGAGGTGAAGGGGATCTTTACATCTAATAGGTTCAACCTCTTTGTAGCTGGAAAGAAGCAAAAGCTGGAACAGCTATGATGTGCACATATTTTTCCCATGTGGCCTTTCTCTATGCCTTTGTCTCCCCAACACACGCAGACATACTCTTCCTGCCCAAAGTTGGCAGTGGAACTCTACCTGCTAGCTGTTGAGGTGCAGTGGAATAAGGCCTGGCCATTAAGGTGTACCTACAGAAGACACCAGATCCAGGGAAAACTGCTCTGATTTTCAGGGGATGCAATGTAGTCCTGCAACTCCAGAAGTTCAATCATCTAACGGTTGTATGGGTTTTTTTTACTCATGGTTTCTGTGGCCTGGATTAAAAGAAAAAGAAATCAAATCATATCTACTCTGGTTTAGAGCAGCATCTAGGAATTATATAGACCTCTTTGAAACCTAGAGACTCCAAATCTTCTAAAATTGTATTTTGGTTGTTTTTCTTAATACATTTACAGTGTGGGACTCCCTCCTTCCAAAACACCAGGGCACCTTCTGAGAGTAGTTTCCTTGACACCTAGATAATCCCATCAGGAAATCTCTGCAGAATCTTTTTTTGTTCTATATTGTATCCTCCATTATTAACCCACCTGGTGGTTGCAGTTGACTTTTTTCTTTTTTAGGGGTGGGGTGTTGTTGTTGACTAGAGGGAAGGAAGACTTTTTTATATTTAAATAACAGAGGCACAAAAAATTATTATTTTTTCAGAAGTTAACATGTTCTGGAAAATCTCTTGGCAGCCTCTCTCTCTCTCTCTTTTTTTTTTTAATTATTATTATTATTATGTTGGAAGTAGAGGTGGGCCTGTGTCCCAGGGGCCAGAGGATTAGCGCAGATGATGCTGATGTTAACCCAAGGAGTGGTCGGGCACAGCAGCTGGCGGTAGGCACCATGCTCCCTGCCAGTAAGTCTAGAGGCAGATATGAAAGTGCCATGAATGTATTGTGGTATGTGTTTGTTTTTGAGATGGAGTTTCGCTCTTGTCACCCAGGCTGGAGTGCAGTGGCATGATCTTGGCTCACTGCAACCTCTGCCTCCCCAGTTCAAGCGATTCTCCTGCCTCAGCCTCCTCAGTAGCTAGTATTATAGGCGCCAACCACCATACCTGGCTAATTTTTGTAATTTTAGTAGAGATGGGGTTTTGCCATGTTGACTAGACTGGTCTCGAACTTCTGACCTCAAGTGATTCGCCTGCCTTGGCCTCCCAAAGTGCTGGGATTATAGGCGTAAGCCACCACGCCCAGCTAAATGTATTGTGTTCTAAACCTGCTCCATTCACTTTCGCTGTGTCTGGAGACAACAAACATTTTGACCAGGAAATAAATCATGCTCATGTCATAGACACATTGAATCTCAGCATGGGCCCCAATCTCTTTCCACTTTAAGGTTTTGGGGAGACTAGATCTGTAACCCTCATTAGCCAACCAGTGGGGTTCCCCAGTAGAGAGAGATTGGCTATAAAAATGCTGAGAGTCAGGCTGGGCACGGTTGCTCCTGCCTGTAATCCCAGCACTTTGGAAGGCTGAGGCGGGTGGATCACCTGAGGTCAGGAGTTTGAGACCAGCCTGAACAACATGGAGAAACCCATCTCTATTAAAAACAAAATTAGCCAGGTGTGGTGGCACATGCTGGTAATCCTAGCTACTTGGGAGGCTGAGGCAAGAGAATTGCTTGAACCTGGGAGGCAGAGATTGCGGTGAGCCAAGATTGCGCCATTGCACTCCAGCCTGGGCAACAAGAGCAAAACTCCATCTCAAAAATAAAAAAATAAATAAGCTGAGAGTCATTAGTTTGATTGTGTCAAAGCCTGATGGTGAGGCAGCTTTTGATTTCACCTTTTCCTCCAAATGTTTGCTTCTTGTCTGATTGACAGAAGGCCCTAAAACTTATGACTGATAGTCACTGAGCTCTCACGCTGCTTGGCTGTGTAGATAGGCAATACTGAAGTGGGGAATGCAGCTATGGGGCAGTTATATTACTCACCTGCTGTAGATCCAGCCTTCATGTTTTCCTGACATGTACCAAGTCAACATTGGAGAAAAATTCCAAAAGATATTAATAAAATGAAAATGGCTTTACCAAAAGCAATGAAAGTTCACTGCTATGGTCTAAATGTTTGTCCTACCAACGCCAAATTCAGATGTTGAAACCTAATCCCCGAGGTGATAGTGTTAGGAGGTAAGGCCATTGGGAGGCAATTAGGTCATGAGCTCATGAATGAGATTAGAGCCCTTGTAAAAGAGACCCCAGAGAACTAGCTCACCCCTTCTACCATATGAGGACACAGCAAGAAGGTACTATCTATAAGCCAGAAAGCTGGCCCTCAGCAGACACTGAACCTGCCAGCACCCTGCACTTGGACTTCCCAGCCTCCAGAGCTGTAAGAAATAAATTCCTATCGTTTATAAGCCATTCTGTTTATGGTATTTTGTTTTAGCAGCCTGAACAGGCTAAGACACTCACATGATATCTATATTTTATGACCGATTTGAGGGCATCCTGATCTATAATTGACTAAAACTGAATGTGGACTAAATATTAATAATATTCGTATCAGTGTTAAACTCTGTGAGTTTGCTATTTGTGTTGTGGTTGTTAGACAACATCCTTGACCTTAGGAGATACATGCTGAAGTAAGTAGGTATACAGGTGTAAAGGGTTACAATATCTGCCACTGACTCTCAAAGAGTTCAGCAAAATGGTAATTGTAATGTTGTGAGAGAGAGAAGGTTTGAACAAATATTAACAATGGTAGAATCTATGTGAAGGATATACAGGTATTTGTTGTACAATTCTTGCAACTATTCTGTAAATGTGAAAGTTTTCAAAAGAAAAAGTTTTAAAAAAGCAAAACACAGCACTTTCTCATTAGAGTCAAACATTGGATTTAGAACAGTCACATGACAAAAACCATCAACTGGAAAAGGCTCGCCAGAGTGCAGTCAGCACATGTTTTGTGGGCCTGTTTATGCTCAGGATTGTCTTGGAAGGTCCAAAGCACCTGTGGATAGAGGCATGGGGTTAAAGATTTCCTTCCATTACAAAACTAACAATTCTCAACCACCACACTTGACACTCAATGCTTGGCTATGAAAACTGCCCATGAGACCACCTCAGGACAGAAGACACATCCATCCACTCCAGGAGATACTTTGCCTGCCCTCCTTTATGAAGCCTCTCAAGAGCCTGTTATTCTGGACTCCTCCAGTTTTTTTTTTTTTTTTTTTTTTTTTTTTCCCTTTTTTTTTTTTTTTTTTTTTCTTGCTCTGTCAC